TAATAGGGTTTTTCCCCTTTGTTTGTAAATGCATATATTGTCACAGTATGTGTTTTGTTTGCATTCTGACCACAAGTATTGTGGTTAATGCAGACGTGATTCCTTGTAAAATGTTTCAGTTTGGTGTTGTAACATCTTAACACCTGTTTTGTTGCCATAAAAAAGGGGAAAACCCATTCTCATATTTTGGTACTGGCAAAGGAGGTCCCATGATGAAGAAAGCAATGTCTTCCTCAAGTGGATTTATTTTTCTTTTATACAATTTCTTTCATCAACATTGGTGTCAAGGCAGATATAGAAGTATTTGGATTTACTTTCACAGTTCCCTGCAGATGCAGGACCACGTGCGGAGATTGTGAACAACCCCAGAAGGTATATCACAAGAACTTTGTCTGATATTGCTTTCATAAGCTCGTTTCACTAGCAACTGCAACACGGTGTCCATCTGTCAGTTATGCTCTCTGAAGTGAGTTAGACCCAAACGATAGCTGTGCCACCTATCAAACTCACTTTGTGCAGACCACCACAGCTGTCGCACATGAGAATACACAATAGCGATGGCGATTACCCTGACGTTCACGTAATTATTTGAGCTGTTTTATATCTCGCGTTGTTGATTGATCCAACGAATATTGAAACTCCTCAATGTAACCATGCTGTAGTGAATTCTAAACTTGTTGAGTGCATTGCTGTTAACATTTAAGCACAAAATTCCTGGCCCACAATTTTTTGTCTATGTCCTGGAGCAAGTGTCTAATAAAGAAATTAATATTACATTTAAATTTAAAGCTTTCGTGACTGCAGGGATTCATCTTCTTGGTTCTTTCAGTAAAGTCACGTAGATTGGTTCAAAGGAGATAACGAAAAGCAAAAACTACGACGTTTCGATTGCTACACAAGCGGTCGTCTTCAGGAAAAGGGGGGTTAGTTTTTGTTTTTTGTTATTTGCTTTGAACCTATCTACGTGACTTTACCGAAAGACCCAAAGAATATGAATTCCTGCAGTCACGAAAGTTTTAAATAAAAAAAAAATCATCTTAGAAGAGGTGGTTTAGAGTGCTTGACACTAATATTTATAATCATAGGGTTTTTCCCCTTTTTTTCTGGCAAAAAAACTGAAACCTTTTTACAAGGATTCATGTCTGCATTAACCGCAATACCTGCAGTCAAAATGCAAACAAAAAACATACTATGATTATATATGCATTGTCCTTGAAATTGATTGGTCCACACCAAGGGATGGCTTTCTTTTGAACCTCGACCCAATTGGTGCTCGACCAGATGACGCCAAAAGGCGTACCAGGTATTGTGGTTAATGCAGACATGAATCCTTGTAAAAAGGTTTCAGTTTTGTTGCCAGAAAAAAGGGGAAAACCCTATTATTACATTTTGGTGCTGGCAAAGGAGGTCTAATGATAACTAATATTTATTTTAAGTGTTTTATTCTAAAAGCCAACATTAGCTTTGAGTGAAGGTACATTGGGCATCGTTCTCATTTTGGCCATTATGGTCAAATCCTGAGCAAAAGAAAAATAGTTTTCTTGAAAGAGTGCTGTTTGGACAAATACATCGCTCTTTCTGAGGACCTTGTATATTTGCTCACTGCAAGGTCATTGTAACATGCTCAGATGTGTAATGGATGCTTTATAACGTGTCTGTTCATTTTCGTTTACATGGTGTAAGCCCACTCTCCTGTTAGATGCTAATATGTTGTGAAAATCTGGACAAAAGTGGCTTTTTGCTTGGCCATCGAACAAAGAAAGTCTCTGCATCGAGCGCTTTCAGATGCGTATTCTGCGGCCGTCTGGATTACTCTTCCTTCCAATATTAGGAAGCCACTGGAGCTATGCACTTTAAAATCTAGTTTTAAAACTCACTTCATTAGAAACTGCTTTTTTGTGTTTAGTTTGTTGTCCTTCCCCAGCACCTGCGATTAGCATGGTTCGCTACATACGCCGCAAAATAAGTTTTACATACTGTACATACATAGACCATGGTGGGGAGCACATCACCGGTCTTGGGTCTTGATTTCCTTTTTAACTGTGCATTGACATATCATTCACAGCAGCATACGACTGCAGGATTGTATTCAGTTAACTTCTGGTGGCACGAGTATTGCAATTGCACAGTCAACAATGCATAAAATGAGGTGGCCATGTGGATCAGGAGGATAATGCTGTTGTTGTCTGAAATCATAAAGCTATCAAAGCATACCTATTTAAAACGAAAAAAGAAGAACAGTCCTAGAAGGTCTGTGCACCGTTATCTCATTTCTGGCACGTATAGCTGATGCTAAGCATTTTATTAAGAGGGTAATGATAAAATAACAAAAGTAATGCCCTTTGTACAGCAAAGGAAATCCTCAGTTAGTTTCGAGACTCTCTTTTTTTCAGCGGAGTCGTGCATTGTTGGGATGTTAGGCCAGTACCATTAAATGAGCGTTTTTAGCGTCGTGCGGGATTAAACGGGCACGCTCAGAGAAAACATTCATCTTGTACGAGGGGGTTGACACTCAAAGCTCCACGCAGTTTTAAGTCTCATAATTCTGTTACCCAGAATTCCAATTACGCAGTTGTCGATGGAATAGCCAGTGGGGAGTTTGAGAAATGGGGTTTGTCTCAAAACATTGGAAATGTTTGACCGAGTACTTGCTAAAAATATATTGGAGGATATTGTAGTTGTTTAGTGTTGGGTACCAGCATTGGTATTTGCTAAAAAAGTTTGTTAAATTGCTTTGTTTTAAAACTGCTTCGAGTGTTCTTGTTTTAATCTGGCATGAAGCCTGTATTTTACGTGGCCTAACAATACACCAAGCTGTCGGCATCATTGGCCATACAAAAGAATGAAGAGAGGCGAATGTTCTTTGAAGCCTAAGGCTCTCTTCTGAAAACAACAACAACACAAAAAAGAAAATACTCATTTCTCGGAGCTTTTTTTACAGATGCCTATCCTAGAGTCGGCTTGTGTGTTTGTACTCCTTTGGTACGGGGGGGGGGGGGGGGGGGGGGGGGGAGAAAGCAGAGGCTCAACGCCCGGCCAGCCTCATCAGCTGGTCACTTGTGCTTACTAGTGTGAGCTTGAAACTCATGTATTCCATTGGAGGGACACGAGAAAGCCTTGTCAAGGTGGGTTCATATCAAAGCCATGGAGTTCCCATAAGGCTTCCGTAATAATGGCCAAAGTCAGAGGTGTTTTACAGATGTGGGAGAAAAGAAAATCAGATCAAAGCCAGTTTCGTTTTGGCAAAATAATCTATTTTATTGTAACACCTTTAAACTTTGACTTGGGGTTTAGCCCTTTGAATATGAAATTTCTGTCAGGATCTTGATTCTTTTTCAAGTGTATTTTAAAGTACAGAAAGTAAATTGGAGAAAGACACATTATAAGTGAAGTTGGTGATCAGCAAAGTACTTATAGGTTTTTCCCTTTTTTTCTGGCAACAAAACAGTTAAGATGTTAAAATACCAAACTGAAACCTTTTGCAAGGAATCATGTCTGCATTAACCACAGATACTTGTGGTGAAAATACAAAAAAAACATGCTCTGACAGTATATGCCTATCGGAAAATTAGTCTCAACACCCTAAGTTTTGTATTTTTATGGTGAGTTCGTTATTTACAAAATTGTTTGCAGGGATGTTGACTGCTTTACAAAAATGCTATAAGGAACAAAAATGTCACCTATTTGTAATAACATTTTTTGATCGGCAAATTCATTTGTAATTTTGTTCTGGACCATAAAAGTTGTTTTTATATATATAAACAAAGTACAAAGGAAAATAATTTAATAAAATAAACAATGCAATCATCTTGCACACCCACCCACCTTGCGGAGTAAACGTGATCTTGTCATAATCGAGCACGAGAACAGTCGTGTGATTTGTATGTACGTTTCAGATGCCTTTAAACATGTGGGTAATTATTAATTTGATCAAGAAGTGGTGTTTTATTTGGGCGTCGCATGCAAATCCGATTAGAGCTATAATTGCCAAGGATACAGTTTGTCCACGTGTTTCTTTGGCAGGATAAATTTTCATGAAATTACTGCGGTGTCAAACGCATTCTCGGATGAACTGATCTTCCCATCCACGCTGGAATGCTGATATCACGTTAATTTTCGTGCACTTGTCAAGCCACTGACATACTCCACAAATAAGCCGCGTCTTCTACGACTGTATATAATTACCTCCAAAATTACACCCGTGTGTGTTGTGATGCTTTTGAAATGTTCACCGTGAAGGCGCCTAATTTGTGGAACTGCCCATGAACATATGTTGTTATTGAGCACCTAAGGAGAGGTGTGACATGAAACATGTGAATAAAGCACGTCCTTGTCAAAAACGAAAAAAATGACATATCTTCCCCGAATGGATTTGCCTTCAAATTTGCTATTCAGTTGTTTGGCAGAAAATCTTGCATATGTGGCTATTGGATATCCCATTCTTTGGCAGCTGAATTTGTTTTATATATATAATAATAGCAAACATCTGTGCTTAAATTAACAGGTTATGCAAAGTAAATTTCGTTCGATGTGACAAAACCAAGCTATATTTCCCAATGAACAATTTTAGGTAGAATTCATATTAACACATTAGCGAAATTAAAGTACCTCACAAGTAACATTACATTCATTTGCTGAAGCCAAAATGATATTTACCGACTGCACTTTCATTGAAACATCATTTCCTGTGCATGTTTTCACTGACTCAGATTTCCTGTAGCTTCACAAAGGGAGGGTGGGTGGGGAAATGTCTGGCCCTTTCTTCCAGGAGCTTTGCTGTGTTTGCTTGCGAGACTGATCTCAGCATTTTAAACTAAACGAAACAATTTTATTTTATTGTACGAGGTAAGGTCCGCTACTGAGGTTTTTTTTTTTTCAGAAGCGACCTGGCCACAAATGATAGTTCAACTAAGTGGCTTATCACGTGGAGGGAAAAACCGGAGGTCCCGGAGAAAAATCCACTCAACCACGTGGAGAACATGCAAATTCCAAATATACAGGCATCAGGGTTGGGATCGAACCCACGACCTCCTGTATACAAGGTGAGGTAGTTAACATCTCGCCATCAAAGCTTCCGCTTTAGAACTTGCACTGGGTCACGCTATTGGCATATCCATTGCATAGAATTTGGCTATTATGAATATAAATTGCTAAACCTCACTTTAAGGATACAACTATCAAAAGCAGAAAGCTTTATAATTAAGAGGCTGACAAGAGAGTGCATTGGTATTTATAGCTCTACGTTGTGATGCTTAGTGGGTTTAAAAAAAACCCATTACAGCTGAGATGCCCGTCCCCTCGGGTGATAATTAATTTCAAAGTCACGTGCTTTTTGCCTTTGTGTGCACCACAATTACACTGGGATGAGCAGTCGGCAATTTTTCTTTAATAAATTCCAACCTAATGAACACGCAATTATTAGCAGATAACTAAACACGTTTATGCACTTGCTCTCTCTCAACGTGAGTTGATGCAGTACTCATTTGCATATGCACATTTTAGTTTACTGCATAACCAACACATGGTGCGTAAATGACACGTTGAACGTTAGGTGCACACATCGCGTACGCCTATTATGGCTGTATTTGACGAAGCTCCCACGTTAAGATGTTGAATATACCATATTAAATGGCAAACATACGGCCTCAGTCTGCACGTGGTTGCTAGTGCCAACATACCTCCTGGGCACCGTTGCCTTGCAACAGCTTTATACTCGGTTTAGCCAATTTAATGCCATTTTTGGGGCATGCAACGTGGCGATAACACCGTTGTAATCTCTGCGCAGCGTTAATGCTTGTTTATTGCCTGCGCTGCTTTAAAGATATGGGCTATACCCAGAGGAGGTTGTGGCAAAGCCTTGGCAAACACCTGCACAAGGTTGCTGTTCTTGTTGTTTTCCGTGAAGGACTAAAAGATCTAAACACCAGTTTAAACTAAGCTCTCCGATGTTTTTTTCTCCATGCGCGGGGGGGGGGGGGAGTTGCTTCTGCAGGACCTGAATGGAGTGGCTCATGTTGTAATCGAAGGAGAGCGTGAGCTACTCGCAGTGTGGTTCCTGAAGAAGCTACCAGCACGTGGAGCAAAACGTCAGACATCGCGCCGTATCAGGCGCGGTTCCGGTCCGAAGAATGTGCCGGAGAGGTCGCAGGTCATAACGGCAAAGCAAAACAATGTCGTGGTCCACATAACCTCGCTTTTCACGGACTTTTATTACACCTCCGATTAAGTACACCCGCACCTCCGATGAGTATACCACCCACCTCCGATGAGCACGGTTGGCTACGTACGGTACGAAATAAGTTCAACACACTTACATTTAAATCGACTAATAGCAATACGTATCATTTGTTTAAACACAAACGTGCCACCATCTTAGAACTTTGAACTGCATACTGTGGCGTTATTTTATACATGCGAGTGGAATCTGTACAAAAAACCCAACGATTATCTGCAAATGCTGTGCTCCAATTTCCACTTGAAAAAAAATCCTGCATGCACGCCTGTCGCAACTACTTTAATAGCCTACATTAAAGCTTACAATTTGTCACGTTGTTCAAAAAAAGGCACCCGTAAATATGGTTATTATTGTATCGTTTGACTCACGGTGCTATGATACATTTTTTGTTTAAAAAAAAACGCACCCACCATGATTATATTTTCTGATTCACGCTTGCAGTATTCTTTTTGGAGTTCAGATGAAAGAGATAATGGACTTTAGTAAAAGCACTGTAACACCTGAAGGAAAGTGGCATAGAAATACCAATTAAACCAATAAAACATAATACGTATTAATGTGCACAAAACAAGAAGCAATATACAATTATTTAAAACCTCGTTAAGAATGTGTCATAATTTAAAACTCCACAAATGTGACGACATGAAATGCATGCAAATATTTATTTGGTTCTTACGTGTGCTGTCTATTCAGCACTGTACACGACTTTATTCTATTTGGGGCTTTCCTTCACAAGCTGCAAATAATAACCTGAAAGAAAATAATTTTCTTATCAGAATAATTAGTTGTTGGAGAATATACATTGTAACCATTCGAAAGGAAGTGCTTTGTGCGTAATTGTGTTTATTTTACCTACAATTACATATATAATCTATCCGTTATCGTGCAAAGCATATACTATCTCTGCGGTGTATCTTTGGCGAGATATATATTCTAATTTGGCGTATCTGAATGTGGCATCATAACGAATGATCAAACTGTGCTTTGATACCGGTAATCTTGCTTTGATTCCTGACTGTGTAATCAGCATTGGCACGTGGAATGCGAATCAAATCTGGGCCTCCCCAAGGTCAACTGGTCACCTCAGCTTGGTTTAGGCATTGTGGATGACAAAGTCAGATCGGTTCATGTGGTTGCTGTCACCAAGAGTATTCGGCATTATAATGGGGGATATCTGCGACCATGTACTAAATAACAAATACATAAAATGTTCATACGTCACAGCAGTCAGTGTCGTTGGAAAACCAAACATCAATCCGCAGACCTGTGGCACTGATATGTCGCTCTCTTACGGGAAGGCATGCTATGTTCAGTGTGCTGTCTTCCAGTGATGTACATTATCAGGGATGCTATTTGTCTTGGCCCATTGCAATTTAAATGCATGTTTCTCCCTTGTGAAAGAGAGTATATATTTTATGGGATCTCCTCTCTGGCAAAAAAAGAATAAAACATTGATTCATTTCATGTAGCATGCAGATACTGTGTACAAATGCTGCAATGTTTAAACTATGTAACATTTATATTGACTTATATAATGACGATACACATCTATGAAAACATGTTTAAAAATATATTTTATGTTAAATATGAGGCTCATAGTTCAGGGACCTGGACATCTGTCAGCATGATTTTTCATACCAATTTTAAGAACCATTTGTCAGTGAACAGAATCTCGGGCCCAAATAAAATAGCTGTGAGTTTTACTGGCACAATCCGTTTCTTTGGCATCGTACAAAAAGTCAACATTGAAAATAAAAATTGTATATGCACAACGAAGTATGAAAATGTATTTGCCGGTATACATGTGCATATGCAATCTCTATCATTAGAGTGCATATATGGTTTATAAACACATGACAAAACATAATATGTGGATAGTTATCCCTGCTGCTTAGTCATGCTGTGCAGTAATTTCATACAGAAATTGGTACCATGTCAAGATGGATATAAATAAATAAAAATATCACACTTTTTAATTGCCCAATTTCAACGATATTCTGTTTTAATGAGCACTCGAATCTAAAGTGTTGGACTGCTCCGATGCCCAAAATTCTCACCACCAATTCACGCTATTATATGACTTAAAAAAAGATAAAATTCACACTTTTTTATTGCTGTAATAATAAACGTTCAGCGATGTGAGCAGTGGACGACGTTCTGCGCTCAGGTTTGCGGCCGCGTTTTTTGTTGTTGTTGTTGTTGTTGGGGGGAATGACGCGCCCGGCGGCGTGATTATTTTCAGCACGCTTCAGCCGTGCAAATTTTTATCCAATTTCACGCATTCCACATTCAATTCGCGCACCGGGCCCCACATTTGTCAGCAGCAGCAGCGGCGGCGGCGGCGACGTCTGGCATCGCGTAGAGTTCCACTGCAAGCGCTTCACACGTTTTGCGCGATCAAATCCTTCCTCGCGATCAAATCCTTCCTCGCCTGATCCCGTAGCTTTTTGAGAGAAAAAAAAAGCTGCAATCCTGCGTGGCACTCGAAAGCAAGCCGACCAACTGTCGACACTGTGACCGCACTGATACAGCGTTGTCGTCATTGAAGGCATCTTATGTGTGCCACGATGATCATCTGAAATCATATTATACACCAACTATCTTGCTTTGCCTAAGGAACGGGGGGAGGGTTAAATCTATGTAAATGCGGCAAGTGATTTATTGCTAGGTTATGCTGTTGTGCTTTCGTTGCTTATAATGTGCTGACTGGGAAAACAGCAGTTCTGGCTAAATTGGGTTTCTTGCACGACAACCCGAAGCAAAGCATAGCCAAGTATGAATGTGTGTGTGTGTGTGTCCTGTATACATGCGTCGTCAAAATAATAACAATGTACAGCTCTTTGACAAAACCATCACTGGATGATGACATCCCCACACCTCGCGGTCATGGGAGTCGTGTATAACCCTTGCTTCGCCACGCTGATCATTGCAGATTCGTGAATCGGGATGGCCTCGGACTGGTTCAGATATAACTCGCCACGGATGCTAGCCATGGCCGGGAATTGAAGTCCAGTAAGCTGCATCCGTAGCATGGTGCGTTCCTCACTGCCCCACCGCCACCTATTTATTCCACGTGCGTGGTACATGTAGTGAAGTATTTAAAATATAACTGGTCATGTGCTCAAGAATATATCAATGAAATGAAATTAACGGCAGGAAAGTAGAGCATGGTAAACTTACCAGCCAGAAAATAATGAACACGCGCATTTTAAATTGTTATTAAACAAACTACCAGCTGCCCTTCGAGGTACCAACAGAGTTTTGTTGTTGTTGTAACATTGCAATGGTTTAATGATCCACCAGTAAAATAAGAAATCCCCCCCCCCCTTTTTCTTGCCTACACCAAACACAGCCCTAAGGAAAACATTATAGATTATCTGTATAACCTTCACATGTACAAGGAGGTCTAAAAAAAAATGTACCCATGGATGTCAATACCGTGATTTTTGTATTTGAATCCTTTTGCGATGGAATTTCTGCGTGCACGTCGGGGGGAACGCTTGCATCAATTTCTCGCAAATCCTTCAGCTCTGCCCAATTCGAATGTACGTGTTTGCTGTCATACAGGCACCTGCCTGCGAGAGTCTCGTTTAACATTGACTTTCACCTTCTGCTAGATGGTGCACACGGGGAGATGGGATGCATGGTCCTGAGGAGCTCGTGTATCTTACGCTCCCCGTGTGGCTCCTTCGTTGTAGCGGGACGGGACATGGGGTGTGCCCCAGGGTACACTCCTCTCTTGACTTGTCACACCTGGACATGCCCTCTTGCAGAGTACAGGCATCAGGTGACACCGTTGACTTTTCTCGGGGTTTTTGGTTGCCCTGTTTCAGGCCAGGAAATGTGTGTTCATTTGAAAAGTCCCAAAATCCCCATTTGATACAGATGAATGGGCGTGCATATGTTTTACAGCACAAATTACCGCGTGCAATATTTACGTTTGCAATTTTCACCTTTGAAATTAGTTCAACTAAAGGATAATTTGTTTAAATAACAGAGGCCTTTTATTTGAATAAACATGGTAATACAATTGATTTACTGGCTTTCTAAGTAGCTACATTAAAAGGACCTGATAAATTATTTCAAATTCTCCAGGGAGCTCATAACTCTCTAGTTGCCAGAATACTAATACAGTTCGTGAAATAAAGATGAGAACCAAAGAAAGTGCGCGTGTTTTTAAGGTTGTAGACATCATAGATACTTTACCTTGGCCATAAAACTATTTAAATGTGGATTATTTTTTGTTCTGTTTATAACCAAAGCTCTATTAATACGCAAAACAATGGATTGTGACAGTGAGTGAGCTTTGGTTTCAAATTACCCATCGAACATGGCACTTAATATCACACTAATGCAGTGGACATAAAACCAATAATAAATTAGGCACACGCATGCATGAAAAACCTAAAAAAAATAACAAGAACTGTTACGCATGGATTCTATCTTGAATTTCGCAATGGTTGACTAATTTACTACTGCCAGTTAAGAGATCATCAAATGAGTATGAGATTCTACTTTTTTTCTTTGGGGGGGGGGGGGTTACACAGTGGTTTGAGTCAATCTACTGAAGGCCTAGATGGGTGTTAATAAGTTGCATAGAAGACTTACATGACAATGTAATGTGATGCAGGATGATTTCAAGTTAAAAAAAATACATTTCTGTTGCATCATGAGAGAACGAGAGATGACGATGGCTTGTGGAGACCATCGCCCAGTAGCGGACAGATCACGTCTGATGATGAGGTTGATGAAAAACATTGAAATAATAAGGGAATAAATAACACCGTAATCCACAGTATGCTGTATGAAAAGACTGATGAGTACAAGTACAGGTTTGTGACACTAACTAGATTCGTTTTAAAGGTTAAAAAAATATTTCCCGTTACTTATTGTATGCATTTACACCAACAGAGGTCCCTGGAATACAATATCCGAAAACTTTATTTAGTGTGAGATGTCTGGAGAGTTTAACTCGTGTAAGCGCTGAATCGGGATTTGATCGTGGCGTGTTGTGAGTGGTGCAGGGATGAGATGGAGGGCTCTGACCTGCTTTTAGACTCCGCTGAAATCTCTCATTTTCCTCAACACTTCTCAGGGTCATGTGGCCAGGGAAGTATATGACCCGTGGGGTCACTTCAAGCTTGACTGATGGCAGCTTTTACCAGTAATATAACTGAGTGACCATCCAATCTCCAAGGTCACTTTGCCTTCTAAGTCAATATTTCCACCCTAAAGGCTACTTGAGAAATTATAGGGAAAAAAATAATATTCATTGATTAGTTACTTACCAGAACTGTTTTACTCCGTACATGTAGTCGTTGTATAGTTATTTAAACAGTGTAAAAAAAAAACTCTTCATAAATTGAGAGAGGAGTGAAATTCATTGTTCTTAATCCACATCTTTATTGAATGTCACACGTATAATAAGATATTCGAGAATTATAGCAACTAATATTACTGAATTGTCTTGTGCCAAATTATGCAGCCTTTGTTTTTATTGAGTTCTTAAATAATTTCCTGTCGCTCATTCCCATTGGTCGTTATGTTATGATGACGCGACGTTATGTTTTGTTCGCTAAACAATTGGACATATCTGGGGGTGGGGGGAGGGACGCTACATTGGAAAAACTATTTAATAATCGTTGAAGGAGGACCGGGATCAAACGCATAACATGAGGATGACGAGAGCAGGTCAGGGTGCATTTAAACAAAAAAAATGGAACTTAATACAGAAATGAAAAGGAACATACCAATCAATGTGCCTAAAGAATCATGTTATTCACCCTTTCCCGTTCTGAGACGTCTGCAAGTTGCAGGATGGGTCCCGTTCGCAGCTGAACCTCGGATCGCGCAAGCGGTTAGCGTTAGTTTTATTTATAGAGGTGTAGCACCGTTGTTTTTAAAGACATTGTCCTCACCGCATATAACTGTAGCGACACGACCGCGCTCTGCTGTAGCTGGCGCCCAAACTGTGCCACACGCCCTCCCGCATAACCTCAAGATGTACTGATGAAATAAAACATTTTTATTTGGTGCTGCACTTACGGAATGGAAAAAAGGTTATTCAGCACAAATTACCTGTTGTGAGATGTGCATAAGAAACACGTACGTTGACAACGAGACTTGAACAAGAGCTTCAGTGTTCACCAAGAAACATAGTGGTACGTGCCTCGAATTACCCTGACATATACAACGAGGGACACGTAGATAGGAGACCGTGTGCAAGTCGGAAATATCGTGTTGACCGTTAATAAAATGAAGTGGCGAAGGTGACCGGGTGACAACGGAGGTTAAGAATGCTGAGCTGGCACTACCGAGATTCTGCATTTAAATCCATACAACCGCCTAGGACTCAACCGGGGATATCATGTGTAGCGAGTTGATAGACTGAGCCCGGTAACCAATGACTGCACCAAAAAAAAACCGTCGCCTAAAAATCAGTCGCTGCTCTCACGTTGTCTACTACAGCTCTGAGAATAAAACAAATATTGATTTTCCTGCCACGTGACGAACATGACTTCTCAGTGTCAGACCGCCCGGGAAAGGAATGCCCCCTGGTGTGTGGACCAGAGATTACTTGGGGGGGCGGGGGGGCATCTTGGCGGTCGCTCCGTGATAACTGCTTCTGTGGGCCATTGTGTAACAGGAAGGGTTCTACTGCTGCACGAGAGAATTGATTTGATACTTGGTTTCATGACAAGAGGCCGGGGGGGGGGGAATTTCGAGAAAAGGAAAATAAAGTAGCCTTGTGCAGGACATCATCATGATGATGATTCCCGAGAGGTCATCATGCTTGACGACCCAAATGCAGCGGCTGGATCAGCTCATGTGGGGTCGTTCCATCAGAGCTACGTGGAAAAAAAGTGTCAAAGGCTTTCAGAGGCCTTCATTCAGCAGTGGATTGATCATGGCTGATGATGATGCTATGACAAAATTACGAAACGTCACTTTTGTGTACACAGTCTATTAGCGTTACTGTTCCCTCTTCATATTCTCATTACATGGCTATCACTGATTTCCCATTCATTAATTCCGTTCATCGTCATTTACTGTTATCAATTTTGCTTTCACTGAATTCACTCATCATTACAGATATGCCCCCATTGCTTCCTCTCATCTATATCGTTCACTTCACCTCCACAATTGCTTTCATATGCAGTGCCGTTAA